AGAGCGGCCAAAAAGGCAGACGCGTGTAGTTCAGAAACTCTGATTCTCTCTCTGTCTCAGTAAGTAACTTGGTGGTTTAAATACCACTCCTTCTCATTAAATATTCAGCAAATTCCAAAACTACGTTCTGGCCGGAAGTAGTAAGTTGAAGTTAAGAATTTGGCAGGAAAAGAACTTTAACTTAAAATTTAACTGTTAATAAAATTAACATAATTCTTACACATTGAAAAAATAAAATTTTGACTATTACTTTTAAGGAAACTGCTTGTGCAATTTTTAGAAAAAAATTATATTTAGTCTTAATTTGAGGCATAGGATTAAATTATGTAAAAATAAGTTGGTATATCTGAAAAAGTCTTATTTTTTATTTAAACACACCTGTTAATGCAGTGTTATATATAAATATACTATACTATACTATACTATATATACATGTATGTATTTATAGATTTTAATTGTTAATATTGATTTTCCACTAGAACAGCATTTCTTAAACTGTGAGTCGCAACCCCCTTGGGGGTGGCGGGACCTGCGGCAGGGGATCAAGAAAAAATTTAGCAGTTTTGCTACTTCTTATTATAATAATTTTACGATTACCAAATATTTTTACACAATGTATCTGAAAACAGATAAAGATAAGACAATATAGACAAAGAAAAAAGGAAAACATTTTGACGCATTCTTTTTATAATAGAAACGTTCATTTTACTTGTTTTGCAAGCAATGCTGTCATTTCGTCTATTACTTATTTAAAATATTCACATTGTTCTATGTCTTAAAATTGAAATTAAAGTTAATGACCTAAAACTGCAATAGTATATTACAGTAAAAGTGAAAAAAATTGACAGTTTCACACACACGTGGGTCAGATTTGTGCAATGCTTATGGGGTCCCACAAAATTTTTGTAAATATTATGGGGTCCTGGGGGTTGTGAAAGAATCTCAGTTGTAAAAAGGGGCCCCTACTGAAAAAAGTTTAAGAAACCCTGCCCTAGAAAATTAAAATTTATATTTATAATATGACAGGGTTCGTATGGTCCTTAATAGTCCTTAAAAGTCCTTAAGTTTTTTGGAATCGATTTTTGGTCCTTAAAAATCCTTAATTTTGCCTAAAATCGTCAGAAGGTCCTTAATTTTTAATCATCTGAAATTTCTGACTGTTTTTACAACTGCCATTTTGAGTGTGAATTATCATTTTGGAGGAATATTTTTGGCAATTCTCTGACAAATATCATTATCTTTTGAATGGGTGAATGCGTTCATGGGCTATAATTTGTTCCCATTTTTAATATAAAGGGTGGAATAGAGTTTATAAGCAAGTATGAAACATAAAGCATTCGAAATTATTTCATTTTTTCTAGTGAAGAGCTCTTAAACAACTTTTCGCTTTTGGGGATGTGAATTCTTTTATTAAATTGCTCTAAATTTGGCGACTTATCAACATTGGCGATTTTAAGATCAGTTTCTATAGAAAATTTTTAATTCCGAGATCTGGGAATTTTTCGACGAATTTTCTGAAACATTGTAACATTGATAAGTTTCATTAAAATAATGGTAATATATTGTAATTACATTTAAGAAATAACATTAAAATAAAGCAGTTTTATTTTTTGCTCTTGTATTATAAAGTTCCATTTTGGCCACTTTTTATACAATATTTTGAATCTGAAAAATAAGCAAGGTATAATGCTATAAAGCACAATTTATGAAACGGTTCTTAGCAAAAGGAAAATAGCTATGTAATTAATTAAAAATTTCTTTTTAATTTTTTCCTGGTAAGAGTTTCCTCATGTAATTGTCTCAGAATATGCGTCAGTTTTCTCTATAAAATTAATTTTACACATTTTTTATCCAATTTTTTAAAAAATATTTCTGGCTTTTTGCTGTTACCGAATTGGCAGGGGTAATTTTTCTTTAGGATTTTAGGCATTGCAGCTTGGAAAGTTTAGAAAGATTTGAAGGCAAGATTTATTGACTCACTTTCTGGGAGATTCCAGAAAAATGTGGCAAAATGAAAAATGTCTCCTTGGTATTAATACATAATTTCTTACTTTTTGGAGAACATCTGGAAGAGCAATAAAAACATAATAGTTGAATGTTTTAGTTCTGATACTAGAATCTTTTTCTTAACATTTTTATCTTCCCTTTATTTTCTTTATTTTTCACTAGACACAAGCATAAAATATCAAAAATGCTTCTAATCTTATCATATGGACAGGCAATTATAGAAAATAATTTTTTTATTAATAAAGAAATTGAAAACTGACAATTTAAACGATTCATCTAATATGTCTTAATGCATCATACACACTAAATTGTGCTGCTTGGTGCCTTTGTAAATTTTGCTTCCAATGCCTGTTCTAAATTCTAAAAGTTTTGACATTTCTAGATTTTGTTGCTCGATGTGTGAATAAATTCAAAAGCTCTGTAACCAGACCTTACCATATATATTTCATATTTCTTCTGAATGTTCCTATTACTATACAATTAGCAGCTTTCTCTGTACATTCTAAATGCATTTAGTATTTTTAGAATAACAGAAATCTTTAATTAAGTGCAAAAACTCTGAAATGAAAAGGAAACGTGGAAGAAAAAAAACTGAATACATTAAGAGAAAGAAAAATTATTCTTCAAAGATATGTACAGATATTAATATGTAAATTACCTAGTTGTTTACAATTTCAACCTTTACTATAATTTCCCATTTCTATTTTCTCACCAGAATGCAAATTGCTTAAACAGTTATTAAACTGAGGTTTTTGGAGTGTAAGACAAGAATGTGTTTTTGACCTCCACTTGCTCCCTGCGTTAGTTCCTGCCCGCCCTGATAATTTGCAATTATTCGTCTTTACATTACCACTTACGACATTTGAATTTGTTATGACAATAGAGTTACTGAGTCAGCTTAAAATGAAATTAAATTGTATAGTCATTGATGACTAGTCCATATTTTTAGTTTGCATTTGATTCTTCTTGTTTAATTACACCACCATGAGCTGTAATTGATTTTTTTAGCATAAGAACATGCTTTATATTCTTCTTCTTAAATAAGAAGCTTATTTAAATCTTTGTAGTTACTTTCAGATATAGCAATAATTTGCTTCACATCTGTCCAGAGGGTTTTGGACTATTTAACTTTTACCAGATCAAGTAAACCCTCATAGGTACATTTTGGAGACGTTGACAGGTTAAGAGATACAAAATGTAGAAACTAGTGAGAACACTGTCTTGCGTATTGAGTTCTAACTGTTAGAAAAGATGCTTAAAAGAAGAAGGAAATTGATATAAATTAGCCAAAATGTCTGGGAAGGCTTCAACTTAAAAGACGCATAAATATCTTGTTGAGTGTTGTTGTAGCTTTTAATGTGTAATTATCCTAATATCATTTAAGAATCAAAGCCATAAATTACATGTATTTTAAACTGTGAAACTGTGAAATTTTATTAGATTTTGATTTAATAAGGCTTTTTTAACAAATTTACTGTTAAAAAATAAATAAAATTTAATAGTGGCCATGTAAATCCATAATGACTAAGGTTATCTGATGCCCAATTTTATTACTTTACTGGTACCTTTAAACTAAAGTTAAATTTGTTACCTTTAAAAATTATAAAGTCTGGAATTTTAAAGCGAGTTATTGCCTTTCATTAACCCTTATCATGGCCACAAGATAAAACACAAAAATGTAAAAATTCATGTAAAACCTATTCTTCGCATCTAGTGAGACTTAAAATAATGCAAAATAACTTGTCACCTCTGGTGCTTTAGTGGATTATTAGGACCTTAAACTATATTAACTGAGTTACAATCTCTACAAGAAGCTGCCTGGAACTCTACAAGAAGCTACGACACTAACTGCGTCAGACAGACCTCAGCTAACTTTCAAAATTGTGAACCGTGCTTACATCAGGCCTTAAGGTTTGTTCTGATCATCAGGTCTCTCCTAGGCAAGCAGGAGCGGCGACAACAGCCAGTCTTTTGTTTTGAATCATGCTGATTGTGATTTTACTTCTCACTTTAACCTATGCCACTTAACATAAAATCTACTTACTATTTACTAAACTCATAGAGTGTGCAAGTATGTGACAAAATGAGACATTAAAAAAAATCAAAGCTAACTGTAACTAAAAGCTAAATAAAATGTCACTTATCTTTCAAATATGTCCAGTTAGTATGAGTAAAATATTTAATGATAGATTTCATAAACTTTATTTTATTCTCAAACTTACTAATAATTATATTTAATACTAATGCATCCTACTTATGGATCTATTTTATTTTTAGGATGGTATTCCAAAAGTGAAGTTCAGCATAGATAATATTTTAATTGAATTTATTCATTTCCCATTTGCTTATAGGTCCTTAATTTTTTCATGAATGGTCCTTAAAAGTCCTTAAAAGTACTTAATTTCTGTGTGCAGAAATGTGTACAAACCCTGTATGAGCAGCATTAATACTAGAATTTGACTTTGAAAAGTCCATTTTTATCTTTTTATTTAATGAGTTAACTCATTCTCATTCTTTCTGTGTATACATATATGTATGTGAGTGTCTGTGTGTGTTCCAGTCCATCCCCTTTTAGACATAAAGTTTGCAAAATAAATTATGTAGGTTGGCCATCTAGAATAGAAGATAAATACAGAATTAGCTAAGCTTTATTATAATCAAATAAAGCAAACCTTTGCTTCGTTTCAGGAGAGGGCAGTGTACATATAACCTTAAATCATTTTTATGACTAATGAGATGTTTGATTTGCTTTTGTTTAGCATTTGTAATTCCTACATTTAATTTCTTTAACCATTTTAGGTTATGTGATTAAATTATACTATAGCTGGTTTTCACTCTTTTGTTACAGCATGAATTGACCAAATTAAAAACACAAATAAATCTTCTCCCCCCCCCATCAACTGAGAACCCTTCCTGTAATAGATAAATTAGCATTAAATTGTTAAATTATTTGGTGTTATAAAAGTTTTTTTTTTTTTTTTTTTTTTTAATAGATACATCATTCTTGCTTTTGCTGCATGCTTACGACATGGTCTAATACCAAATCTTTTGGACAGAGGTGTTTGTGCTAGATTTAATTGCAGGGATGCTGTCTGGTGGTGGTTGCAATCAATTCAAGAATATGTGAAAATTGTTCCTAATGGACATAATATTCTAAAAGACAAAGTATCTAGGCTATTCCCCTCTGATGATTCTCCACCTCAACCTCCAGGAAAATATGTAGGTGAAAAATATGTTTCCATCTTTAAATTTTTATGTATTTTTTTCTGTTATATAAGCATAAAAATCTAAAGGTGCATCATAAAATTTTAATAACTGTTACAAATATCAATTGAAAATCATTGTGATATAATAAAATGAATAGATTTTAGATGTTGTAAAGAGATACTGTGAAAACTCCAAAAATTAAAATTGAAGACATGTTTATTTAAATCAATAATTACTATTTTTTTAAAGTCTATTTAAAAAGTATGTAGAAATATTTATTATAAATAAATGCATGTCTTAAAGAATATGAATGAAATATTGTAAATGAATATTTAAATTAGATTAAATACAGAATAGAGCTGTTTGGAGCAATTTTGCAGTGCCTGAGAATTATATAATTGACAAGACTGAAAAATAACATAGTTGTTCTTGAGCTCAATTTTGAAAAAAAATAAGTCTTAAAATAGATTTCTTGAAAATGTTTTTGGTTAAACTTACTTTTAATAAATGAGAAATTAAATGTAAAAAAAAAAAAGTTTAAAAAGGTATGTGAATATATGTGTGCATGTGTTCATGTTCTTGTGAAAATAACTGATTTTGAAAATTCCTGGAAAATTTTTAACAGTATGGAAAGATAAGTTTACTATTTCCTTGCCTGTTGTTCCATTCTTCCTCTCCTTCCTACTCTCCATTCTTTACTCCTTTATTGTTTGAAAATCTAATAATAAAGGCAAAGTCATTGCCAATTCTTCCGATTTAGGTGGACGATTCCCGGTTTCTGACTGTACTTCCATCAACCCAATTTACAGCATATTTCTCCTACCTTTTATTCTTAAAATTTCTCAGGATTTTTATGTAGCTTAGCCTCTCCTCTTAAAATGATGACTAAGCATTTCTCCTAATTGGCCAGTAATTACATACAGCGAAGGATAAGGTAATAATAGATTAGTGGCTTAGAGCAGTGACTCCAGCACAGAAAGAAGTTAACACTTAGTTATTTGCACCCCCCCCCCAAAAAAAAAAATTTTTTTTTTTGGCATCTGAAAGCATTTTTATTTTCTCTATGTTACGTATAAAATTAAACCAAAATTATTTCTTAGTGGGATATGAATATATTCTATGATTAGTGGGATTGAAACTATTATGTTTAGACAGAACTTCTGCTGCCTAAGAAGTGCTTTCCTATTTCCTGAGTTAAACCCGTAATGGGAATGGTGTTAAAAGCATGAAAGTATTCTTGCAGTAGGAGAATGGTGATGAGAAAGGAAGAAGAGGCCACATTTTCCTATAGAAACATGTCTGAATCATGAAAAGAAAACTGTAGATCTTATGCAAGATCTCATTTATCTTAGGAAGCTGAAAAAATATAAAGGTTAAAAATTTCTCATTTTAGAGAGTCTTAGAAATAGAACTGTTCTTAAAAAGTATAGAAAAAGCCTTAAAAATCAACATGTTCAGAGAAAGAGCTTTTTCATGGTCGAGGCCTGAACGCACAGTCTTTTTTTCTGTAGAGTCATTGCTCTAAGCCACTAATCTATTGTTGCCTTATCCTTCGCTGTATGTAATCACTGGCCAATTAGGAGAAATGCCTAGTCATCATTGTAAGAGAAGACAAGTTTGTTTCCATTAACTTGATTACATTTAAAGCATGTAATTTTTCAAGAGGAGAGTTAGAAGCTTAGCAAAGTTGAACAGTCTCTAAAATTTTTGAGAGTTCAAATTCGTGAAGAAACTAATTCATAAATCCTGAGTCTGGAGTTTTCTCCACTGGCTTGGTTTATGAGAAGAGTCAATTCTGTGTGAGAGAGTATCAGAAGACCTAGTGTAATGTGCAACAGCTTTTTGAAGATAGTTGGATTTCCTGCTTCTATTGAGAGCATGAAAATCACATTAAGTTGAGGTGACAAGGTGATCTAAATTGCATTTTTAAAAATTCAAAATTTGTTAAATTTTAACTCAAAACATGAGCTTTTCTCAGCATACTGATTCAGATCTCTGAACTTTTCTCCCATGCCCCCTATGGATCTAAGATTTATCCCTCATGTGTGTAATTATATTTAAAAGTACCTTATTTTGTTTTCTTAACTTTAATTTAGTTTTTTTTTTTTTTTTTTTTTTAAATCTGCAGTAGGGTGTAATTTGTTCTGCACTGGGAAGTGGTTAGTATAATTAATACATCCGCAGTCTGGAGTCATCTCCACTGGCTTGGTTCATGAGGAGAGTCAATTCTGTGTGAGATAGTATCAGAAGACCTAGGGTAATGTAGATCAGGTTTTTGAAGTGGGTTGGATTTCCTGCTTCTACTGAGAAGATGAAAATCGCATTTAGTTTGAGGTGATCTAAATTGAATCTGATGCATGGTGATTCAGCATCTCCGGGGGAATTTACAAGTATAGGAAAGATGATCCTCATCACTTTGTTCATCATGATGAACAAAGTTTGTTCGCCGCCGACCAGGCTTCCGAATCAATCGGAATTAATACCTGATCAGCAGAGATAAAATCTACTAGCAGCCACCATAGCTAGGTGGACTGCCAGATCAGCAATGCTTATTTTGTATCAGCCAAAGTAAATTGTTACAAAAATTAAAGAATATGCATCAATGACATCTTTGCACTTTGTGTGACATATGTACAAATGATATATTACATAATCAAAATTTGCATACAAGAGCTAAGCAGTTATAACTGCTGCCTTCAACCGTATTTATAAAAAAACGTACAAGTTTGAAAGTTATTAGAAACCTCTTAAAATTGTGAAGTCTTGAATTCATGTTTTGTTCTTAGTAACGACCACACAATTGAATCCCAGGGCAAGGCAATTAGATCATAATTACAGGAAAAATGTGGTCAGTATTTAAATTCATTTTTCATAAATTCTCAAGTCTAAAAACCAAAAACAATAATAAACAATTAACAAATTATCAAATTTCATTACTCATAGTTAATACAAAAAACAGAGCAATAAAATTTAATTCAAAGAATATTATCTATTTATAATGATTCTTATCTATCTAAATCAATTCTTATCTAGGCAATAATTTATCTTAATTATATAATATATTCCCTCCTAATTAACACATTCCGGTTTGAAATACAATTATTCTCAAAAACTAAGAAGAAAAGAAAAACAACAAATAATATAGCGATAACATTTAGTCTGCTATTTTAAGATATAGCCTTTAACTGCAAACATAACTCTTTTTAAAAAACAGAGGGTAAGCATAAAAATTAGACTTGTGACAAATGTTGTACTGTGTGTGCGTTTCTAAATTTGATCTTAAGCAGTTAATACAAGATGGACCCTATTTACAGTTCGGAAATAAATTATCATACGTATGAGTGCAGTGAGAGCAAAATAAAGAATATGTACAATTTCGAATATGGTGGCCAAAAGCCTGGCAACCATAGCATCTTAAAATTCGAATATATTTACGAAAACTACAAGAATGGAACCCAACATAAATGCGACCCTTGTGACCCAGTATTGTCAAAGGCTGCTTGTCTATTTGTAGAATGAAATTCTTACTATTGTCTATGCATTTAAAGCTTGTGACAAAATTTTAATTTAAATTAGTATCTCTTGGCAAGAGTGCCTTAAAAGCATCTTCGATAGCAGCCTCAGTTACATTAATAGGAACTCTAAATAATTCTATTCATATGCGATCTGGGTACACATGCCAAAATATTGGCGTCTGGAAAAGATGATATCAAATGTTTAAGCTGTTCTTGATGCTCCTGTGTATCACAACTTATCAGAAGATCCTTTGTATTTGATACACAAATTTTAGCTAACTTAGATTGAAGTTCAGCCAAAGTATTGATTGCTTGCGATGAGGAGACAATGATAACATTATCTAAATGATGTTTAGAAGAATTACCAATCATTTAGACAGTATTCATAACCCAAAAGAAAAATATTTAACACTGTTTTAGATTAAGAATTATTGATTTGTTATTCAGGTAAGCTCAGATATGCAGGAAATTATTTATTAAGGACTTAAAATACCATATTTTTTGCTTATATTAATATTTTAGAATTACCGTATTTGCCGGTGTTTAAGACGCACCGGCCTATAAGATGCAGCCCTTTTTTTAAGCACATTTTTGAAAGATTAAACTTTTATTATTGATCCTTATTAATGAATTTTTCAGTATTTTAAATATAAAGTAACACAAATACAAAGTTATACTTTCTGCAAATACCCAATCTATCTGGGTAAGAACACCATTTAATCTCCTTCATCAAAACTCAGACACTCATCTCCAGAGCTAAATGAAGAGTCACTTGAAAACATCTTCTAAATCAACATCCGAGTCCTTATATGACAAATTGTCCTCTGTACCATCCAGTGCATTACTAATGCCACACTTCTTAAATGATTTAACCACTGTCTCACAACCGACGTATCGACACAATAAGTATCGACGTATAAGACGCATCCCATTTTTCAGACCTATTTTCAAAGAAACAATGTGTCTTATACGCCCACAAATACGATACTTTAAATTTATGTAACATGTAATAATCAATTAACTTAACCTTATTTCACATTTGTTTCCTAATGTATTTTTATGTGATATTTCATCCTATATTTACTGTTATCAGAAAGGCTCTTCTTTTTAAATTTATTTCAATTTTTAGATATTATGTTTCAGTCAGAGTTGGTAATACTGGAATTTATATTAACCACTTCACAATGCAGAACAAATTAAACATTGTTGCAGAATGGTTTAAAAGAATTAAATTAAAGTTGAGAAAATAAAATAAGGTCCTTTTAAATGCTATTACATACATGAGGGATAAATCTTAGATCCATAGGACATGGGGAAAAAGTTCAGAGACTGGAACGCCGCATCGCGCAATTAATTGGAAGTTGATCTGTCAGCACTATCCTTATCTTCAGGGCAGATGTTTTCACTTTATTTGGCTTATAATTCCTTATTAAATGTAGTATTTCATCTCGATGTATTCCGTCTTTGATATGATTTAAATCAAATTCCTCGTCATTA